TGGTTGAAGTAAAGTTATATTCGGAAAGAATAAACCAGTTTTATTAAGTAAAGACTTGTGTCGCTTAAGTTTCGTCGGAACGAAGTTACGGAAAGTTAATTAACAAACGGAGACGTAACAATATATTTATTGCTGTTTGTCACTTGATATTGTTATTGATATTCAAAAGTATTGCTTGAATATTGTATTTGCTGTATTGTTATATGGAATTAGGTTTTTTCTTTCTGGTTCTTTTCTTGATTCAGTTATTATTGATTTATTAACATTTATGGTAAATTGCTTATAAATATTGGTGTGAAGTCCTGGCCAGGCATTTGTTTATTAACTATGTTGAAGTTATTTCTAAATGTTGTTATTGTGAATAAATTGTGTTTTTGTTATTGAACCCTGATTGTAACGGCGTGTTCATTTTTGACTGTTGCAACAATGTAGAGGCCTAATGTATTCTTTGATTCGTTATACCCTTTGCTGTGGATTGTAGTTTTGCTTATTATCAGAAGAGCTTGGATCAGTAAACCAAAGAAATGTTACTTAATGTGATAGCGTATATATAATATTGTTGTAAGATGTATTTTTTTGTTAGCAGAGAGATAGTTGCATGTAGTAATAATGGTGGGCAGATAGGCCTAAAACACATAGAGTTCTTAAAGATTTGACATAAAATAGTCTAGTAAATTCGAGGGTAGATTATAAATACAATATAGTCAAGAAATAGTGAAGAAGAAAGAGTTGTTTCTAGCTGATATAATGAATCAGTCAGTGTGTTTTAGTGAAGTATTTGGATCTGTGCTAGCTGTCAGACATAATGAGTTACTTGTAAGTTTATTGTTTATATAAGTGTAGCACAATTAGGGTGTCTGCAAACGTGACCTATAACTTACCACAGTGTTCAAGCATTTAAAAGCACTAAGGAAAAAAATCAACTAATTTGCTATTGTTTATACGTACTGGACTTGAAATTAACAAAAATTGGAAACGTCGTCAGAAACCTTGCATACATTTCAAACTGAAGTAAATTATGTGATTAAAAATTTAACATCCATATACTAAAGTAGCACATATCACCTTTATATATTTTATATAAATTTGGTACAGACAACAACAACAAAAATTAACAAAAAAGTGAATTTCTTAGCAAAACTTTGTAAAATATATTACAAAATCTTAAATGTGTTTTTAAACTACAAAAAGTGAAAAACTGAGAAGAAATATCCAAAACTAACCACAGGAATGTACAATCACAAACATGGCCAGGTGGTTAGGGCGCTCGACTCGCGATCTGCGGGTTCGAATCCCCGTCATACCAAACATGCTTGCCCTTTCAGCCGTGGGGGCGTTATAAAGTGACGGTCAATCCCACTATTCGTTGGTAAAAGAGTAGCGCAAGAGTTGGCGGTGGGTGGTGATGACTAGCTGCCATCCCTCTAGTTTTACACTGCTAAATTAGGGACGGCTAACGTAGATAACCCTCGTGTAGCTTTGCGCGAAATCCATAACAAACAAACAAGACACAAACTTCGAGTTACTTATAGATAATGCCAAAAAGAGATTACATGTAGAACTCAACAATGCAAGCATGTATAGCCCATTTTCCCAGTAGTTTCTAACTATTGAGGTTTAATGTTTAGATAAAATCATTTCATTCTTGAAATTCCGTGTTTCATAGCGTATAAACACAAAAGGTATTTGATTCTGTTATCCCAGTAGCAATTGTTTTCCAATTTTGAATTTTGTATTTTATCAGTTGTGATAAATAACTTGTTGTCTGACTAAATCAAAGTAACTGCTGATTTATTACATTACTCTGTAGTAATTATAATACCTGATTTCATTGGGTCAGATATTTTCAGTATTTTATTTACTGCTCCGGATGTAATATGTAGCTTTTTAGAAGGTTGTGTAAACACAGTTGTTTTGCTGAATGTGAATCAAAAGGTCTGTAAGGTTCCCGCTATGATATGTTGTT